TTTTTTTGCTTTTGCCTTCCCAAGTCGGCTCCTGGGACAGCTCCCCCACTCTAGTTACAATACCTGCTATAGTATCCGAAGTAAGCCTTTGGCTGAATAGAACTAACGTAAACTTCTTCAGTCCTGCTGTTTTGTCTCTAACGGCACAGTCATTGAAATAGGTAGGAAAAATCCATACAAACTACTCAAACTATGTGAGGCTTATTGTTTCCAAGGTAAAACAGCTCCAATCAAAGAAAATATTTTCTAGGAGAGACATCAGGGACCTACTGAAACAATAAATAGGTATCCAAGCTGCAGCTGATAATAGAAGATTGCCTTCACTAATAGGGATGACATGCTGAAGTATATTTCCTTCCTAACTTGAAGGAAATACAAGAAAATTACTAATAAAGTGTAGTGATCACACAGGTGTACATGAATGAGAAAACCTAAACACTGAACTTGATTTGTAAAGCAGGTAGCAACCTCTGCAGACCCTTTGTCTAGCTCTTTTAGGGCCGTGTTACACCTTGCATTGGGAGCCGCACAAATGTTGATCCAGGTTAATGCTAGGTTGGAGTTTTCAGCAGTTGCATCTTTAGTTTAGAAATCTTCTCTAACTGTTCTCCACCTGCACGGCTATGACCTGCCACTAGAGGCCTGGTGAGCAGGGAGGTACCTTCCAGCTCTACTTCTCTATGCTGTGCTTCTAAGGCAAGGCTGGGAGGGCAAGTGCCTAGCTCCCTTGGGCTAGCAGGGGGAAGCCGAGACTACACTTGCTGCAGGGTGTGTAAGAGCTGATGAAGGTAAAAAGCAAAGCAACCCGCATGAAATTAAACTAGCAGCTGGGCTAAGACTTGGGCAGGGGGCTAAGACTTGGCACCAGCTGCATTACAGCGGGCAGCACCCCCAGGGCTTGTAGGATGGTTTGAGCTGCCCCCAGTTCCCATCAGGGGCAGCTGTCCCCATGATCCAGGTTCAGAGCTGGCCTGTAGTTTGCTAGCAGGTGGCTGCACCCACTCCAATGTCAAGGGAGGGAAGGAGCACTGCCGAGGCATGCCATCTCCCCACCACAAGTTGGTTTCACTCAGCAGCTGGGAGCAGAGTAGCCAGTAGCCAGTTTCTATGTCCACACAGGCAGTGGCAGAGTCCTGTGCTTGAAGCCGGGATCCACCTTCAGCCACCCCATCCTGGAGCAGTGGCTTCCTCCCACCCCAAAGCAGCTGCCGCCAGTTCTCGTTGCATTGCGTGTGGATTGGGTGCACGCAGCAGGGCGCTGCTGGAGCCGTGGGACTGGAGCTCTTTGCCCGTCAGAAAAGGTAAGGAGCAAACTGTAGTACAGGCAGTCCTCGACTTACAACATTTATAAACTGACATCCTGTTTTAGCTTTCTGAGGTCAGTTTCGACTTTACAACGCTTGATCCGACACCACACCATGCCAGTGAACAAGTTTGTTGTGTCACTCATCTCCCTGGAGAACATCTGCCCAAACTTCCTTGGACACTGCCTTTAAGATTTTCTACACGTTCTGGATAATGATCGTACACCTGCCAACATGAATGCCTTGTGCCCCTGGAGGCTGGGGGGGCACAGCGAGCTCCTGCATGCGGTGGCGCTGTGGCAGGTGTGTGGCAAGTGCTGACTAGTGGTCGGCAACCACCCACAGCCACCACCCACAGCAGCTGCCAGCAGTGAGTGTGGACTGCCCACAGATGCCATTGGTGGTGTCAGTGGCACCTTTTCCCATGGGGTGTGCCGCCACGCTCAGGGGGTGCACATGCACCGACGTGCACCCCCTATGCATTGCCAATGCCTGCCAACGCTGCCACATGAGTGAGAAGGCACTGGCTGAGGCCAGGTTGGCCCTGGCACCAGGACTTCTGCCCCTCTGAAATGTTCCCCTGCCTGCAGGAGAACTTTGCCCCCCACATCTGCTCTGCCCGCTCAGAAACCGAGACAGCAACACCCTCCTGCTAGGCCCGGCGTGCTCAGGAGGAGGCACAAGCAAGTTATTAAGGGGCCGGACGGGCGCAGATGCCCTCCCGCCAAAGGGCAAAGCCCTCAGCGGCTTCATCTCGCGCTTCTGCGCATGCCCAGGCCCCCGCAGGGGTGCACGCTGTGGGCCTCTTGGGCGCTCTCCACGTGTCCTTAGTGGCGGGGCGGGGCGAGCGGCGGCGCAGCCAATCCGCGGCGCCCACGACCCACCCCGGCGAACTTGGAACGCGGGGGCGGGGCGGGGCAAGCTGAGCTGTCTCGGGGCTCTGCGCGGGCCATGGTGCGTCCCGGGGCGCGCGGCCGCCCGCTGGGCTCGGCGCTGCCCCTGCTGCTGGTGCTCTTCGACCTGCAGTACCAGGGTGAGGGCGCCGCGCGCGGCAGGGGCAGGGGCGATGAAGGGCGCGGGCGGCAGAGGCTGGGGCGCGCGTCGCGATCTGCCGGCTGGCTCCTGCCCCGCGCCGCCCAGAGCTGTGCTGGGACCCAGCTGCTATGTGCTAGGGCAGCGTGTCTCCTCAACCCGTGGGTTTCTGCCCCAGGGGTGGGTCGCAAGGATATACGAAAGGGTGGTGCACGAACTTTGAAAACGGATTCTTCTTGAGAAAGAGAGAAACGTGGGACAGCGCGGCTCTTCCGGTTTAGGCTGGCACAGTTTCAGCCTGTCAGGGGCTGCTTGCCCCCCCACCCCCTATGCATCCTGTGGGTAGGGAGCACTGGGTTGGGACTGGCTCTTGATGTTAACAAATGGGTCCTAGTACAGAAAAGGGTTGAGAACCACTGTGCTAGGAGTGAGGGGAGCAGGGCTAAGGGGACTTGGGACAGTAGGAGCCAAGGAGGAGAAGGGGGACTCTGCGGAGTGGGCAGCGCCAGCCAGAGCTGGGCCCAGTTCAGTCTTGGCAAAGACCAGCTCACCCGGGAGGTGCCCTGCTGCCTTGTGGAGAAACGCACTGGGCTTGGCCTTGCCCCAGGGTTGCGGCAGCGGGGACTGACCAGGCTTATAAGGGGGGTGGAGATGGGGGACAGTTAGTCTGGCAAAGAATAAACCCTCAGATCGAGCCCTACCCCAGGTACCTCTTGTAACGAAGACACCAGGCTCAAAAGTGAGTGGAGGCACTGTCTTTTTAAAACCAACAACTGCTTTAAAATAAATACCATATCTTAGCCACACGGGAAAATCACACGTATCAAGAGTTCTATCAGGGTGGCAACAAGTGCTTTGCTTTCTCAGTGTTTTGGGAGCCACTAGTAGAAGGCCAGTTCCTGAAAGTTGAAACAGCTGTCTTGGTCCTAAAAAGTGACTTTACTCAACTCTCACTGACTTTTTTTTACTTGGAAGCCAAGCAAAAAAGAAAAAAAGAGCTTATTTGGAAGTTTGCCTAGGTCTCTGACAATTGCTTTTTAAAAAAACATTTCCTGCATTGGCATCAGTAATAGGGTTTTCAAGGCAGATTATATTCCCCACCTGTACTTATACAGCCAATTTGCTTTCAGATTTGTACCCTTTGTGACACCTGTTTAGACCAGGGGCCAGCAATCTTTTACATGCCTTAGGCTGAAACAACACAGCTCCAGTCCAAAGTAGGCCAGGTAGCTACAGCTGCATGACAGTACTGGGGAACCTTGCTCGTGCCCACACCAGGGCCACACAGCTGGGAGCTGCGCTCATGCTGCCGCTGTGCTTACCTTAGGGCTGATGGAGTTGTGCAGGTGTCTGTAAGGGTGCAGTTTGAGAACACGGATGTTTTACTGGTGTCTTTGAGGGTAGGATTTGATCTTTCTCATTGGTGGTGATGTGCAGAGTGGAAAGAACCCTGTGTGAATCTTGCAGCCAAGAGTAAATCTGTGGACTTCTCCAGCGTTGCATTTGAAATGCATTTCAAAATTATGTTTAATAAGAAATCTATAATGGAAATGTGCTTCAGCTGGCTGGTAGACAATGTAATATTAAGTTGGAACATGCTAACCTGTAGTGTCCGATTATGTCAAAACTTTGTATTGTATCTTCCGGATACTTCTGCTACAGGAAGCAAACTAATTGTGGTCAGAAAAATCAGTCGAAGCCAGGAGTTGGCAATGCTGAATTTGGCCTGTGGAGCTGTGCTAGGGCTGGGCCATGCCGCTTCCAGCAGCCCTCCCAGCTCTGGTCTGACACAGGTCAGGTAATTTCAGCAGCCTGTCAGCCAGGGGAGGAGAAGGGAGGGATTTTTTCCCTGTGCCTGTCCCTGTGCTGGTGCCTGGCAGCTAGGAGCAGTGCCCACACAACCAATGCTTCCTCAGCTGTGGCATGGGTACTGCTTCCAGCTGGTGGGGAGTTTTGCTGGGGCCAGACATCTGCAAACTATGGTCACCTATACATGCTGATGCCTGCTCTGATGCTTTCTAATTGGAGTGGTCCAGCAGCCTTGGCGTCTCATGTACTCAATGTTCCCATGTTTCAAAACGGTGGTGAGGGTACTTTAACTAAAGCATCCCAGCTGCCATTTTGAAGCATGGGGTGCTGAATACATGAGACACTGTGGGCGTTTTAATTAGTGGTTCCCGAGAGCTGCTCTAACTACCACCCCCCCCCCCAACCATGTGTAAGGATGCCCTATGTCCATGCTGCTGCTGTTAGTTTCCACACCACATCCCCTACTTCAGTTATGGCATGGGCACAGCTTCCAGGCAATGGAGAGCTGCTCTGCAGCCCAGGCTGGGGCAGGGGTAGCATGGGCACAGTTTCCAGATACCTGGTTCCAGCACAGCGGCAGCATGAGCGCAGCTCCCAGCTGTGTGGCCCTGGTGTGGGCACGCGCAAGGCTCCCCAGTACTGTCACGCAGCTGTAGCCATCTGGCCTACTTTGGACTGGAGCTGTGTTGTTTCAACCTAAGGCATGTAAAAGATTGCTGGCCCCTGGTCTAAACAGTTTTCCATATTCTGAAGCATTTGGAGATGCCATACCATTATGCTGATAATTGTGGGTATAGAGGTGCCAGACTATGCCAAATCACTTTCTTATATATGGCCGTAGTATGCGTGACCTGGTGCCTTGCTAATTGTGGCTGCAGTAGGCATACGTTTCCTTTCTAACACTGGATTTATTTTCCTAACAGAGGTTTAGTAGACTGATGATCTTGATGGGAAGGGTACCATGTGGAACTAGATTGGACACAGCACTCATAAGAAACAGTTCTGAACATATTAGGGTGGCCAAAATGTGATGTAATTGGGCACAATATCTCTTTCGAAGTAGCACTTTCTTTGGTATATATGAAGCTAACAAAATACACGACTGGTATCTTTTTGTCATACACTAGGTGGTACACTAGGTTCTGTTGACTTGCATAACTATATTGTTGAAGGAACAGTTTATTGGAGCATGCATCATGTTGAAGTGTTACTGGGAGCCTGCCTCCTGTGCAACACAGGTCATCCCTTATGTCCCTCTCTGGTCCCAAGCACAACCTCTCTGGTTTCAGAAAGAGTTGAGGAGATTCTCCTAGAGGGGGGTACTGAGGATGGTTGAAGAAGTGATGGGTGAATTTACTGCTGATCAAAAGACATACACTGTGCAAGCGTGTCTTCTGTGAAACTCATTGAATTGGAAGGATAGTCATTTCTATCTTTGTACCTCATGTTTTTCCGTATTGCCAGTCTTTCAGGTCTTCTACAAACAAGTTAAAAGCTGGAAAGATGAAACTATTTTTGAGAAGTCCCCTGATTTAAGAATTTATATAACAGGCCAGTTTTAAGCTGAAGTCTTATGTGGATGCTAGTTGATAAGCTTGGTTTTATCTTGTCTGAATGTGAATCATGACTGACTTTGACAGGCAAGTTTCTTTGAGTAGGTGTGATATCTTTTATTAGACCAACTGAGTAGTTGGACTACGTAGTTGGTCTAATAAAAGAAACCACATCTGCTCAAAGAACCTTGCTTGCCTACGTCCTTAGACCAACACGGCTACAACCAAAAACGCAACGACTGACTTTGCCATTCTTCCCCTAGTATTCTGGGAGCTGGCTTAAAATGAGCTTTGGCTCTTCTGTAGGATTCTTCTGTTTTGTTATGCACAGTTTTAGGATTAGCACAGGCCCCTTTGTGAACATGGATATTTGTTCATCCCAGTTGGAGTAGGAAAGGGAGTACTGGGGAGGTCCTGTTTTTCTTCTGTTGCTCCTTTCAAGCAGCAAAATAAAGGGGTTATGTGGAGAGAAAGAAGAGTAAGGCCAACAGGGGCTTTTCACGGAGCTCAACGTTTTTAGCCAGGTTTGCTGTTACCAGTCCTCTGACCTCTTCAGGACTCTTCTTTCTCACCACTTACCCAGGGATGGTGTCAAAGTGTTAGTTCTCTTCCTGATCTGAGGCTGAAATGGATTGTTATGGAATGGTACTGGTGGGTTTTTTTTGTTTTTTCCTTCCCTCCCCCAGGACTTAGGTTTTGGGGAGTGGTGGTAAGGAAGAAAGAGAGGGATGTCTGCTTGTTGCTTAAAGTTACTCCATGGTCTTTGCTGGGGTGGGGGAGGAGGAGGTTGCTGGTGTTAGCATTGCCTCCTCCCTTTCCAGGTATCCTCTGGGACCTACTTTTAGAATTATACTAGCCAATGCTTTAGTTCAGGGGTGTCAAAGATACAGCCTGTGAGCCAGATGTGGTCAGTGGAGCCCTGTCATCTGACCTGTGGTGCTGCCTGTGAGTCCCGGGCTGGGCCTGCATGTCACACGCTCAATGCCGCAGACCCAGCGCTACGCACTGATTCTGGCACGAAGAGGTGGGACTGCTCTGCTGGGCTGGTCCAGGGCACGTGGGGCTAGCTGATCCAACTTGCAGACTAGCCCCTCACTGGCCGGATGAGTTGGGTACCACTGCTTTAGCTGATGGCTTCAAGGGGCTGATGGGCAGTTTGACTTCAAATGTTGCAGTACTTTCAGATGTATCCTGTATTAGTGAACCTCTTTGTGCCATTCCTGAAGGTTCTGTGTTACTGGTATCCATTTCCTCCTCTGTAATGCTAGAAATTTTTGCTGCTGTCTTTATCTGCACTCCCTCCCTCTTCAGACCTTATGTGGTTTTTTTTTTTTTTTTTTATATATTCTGTATGCGTTACGTGAATGATAGCATTAGACATTGTGATTGCCAGAGGTGTGGACCTGGTAAGTACTGTGCATTGGGTGGAGGTAGCACAGGGATTAGATGTTTGCTGCTTTCCTGAAACAAGGTATCCACTATTTTGATGAAGACTGTCAGTATCTTGGTCAGAGAATCAGTTGTACCCATGTATTGTTGCTGACCTCCCTTAACACTTCCTATCTACCAGCTGTCAGGCCTCGGATTAATTGCTGGGATTCTCCTACTTGAAACAGGCCTTGGGTTACAAAGCTCTCTG